GATCTCAATATTCCCCAGGGCCAAAGCCTCCTGACCATTTCTGTTCCACATTTCACACTCTGAAACAGAGAACGTCACATCCCCTTCCCTCAGGACAGCTCTCCCGGACACACTTCATGAATTGCTGCGGGGCTGATAAGGATTTTATAATCACAATGTAGTGATCTTGAAATTCAGATGAGGAAACTGAGTCTCAAGCAAAAGCCTTGAATGACTCTAACCCTACCTCCAGTGCGCAAGCAGAACCAGAGTTAGGGCTGTCATGTGATAGGCGAGGGAAGGACAGGTCTAGAGGCAGTCTGGAAACTATGAGATTGATGCTTGAAGAAGAGAAGCTCTCTAGGAGGCTGGACAGAAGGCGCCTGCTGAGCAGGCCTTTGTAGCATCCTTTCTTGCCACTCTGAGCTCCCTGATGGCAGATGATCCGCTGATACCTTCCACACACATGATTGAGATGTTCTGTGTGCTGGGATCTGTGGGCCCTGGGAAGAATGGCTGTGTGTCCCATGCTATGAGCGGCCAATAAATGTGATTCAGGGCGAACATGGGGAAGAGAGGGCCCTCCTCACCTGGGGAGGCAGGAATCAGGAGACAGGAGCGAGTCACACAAATGCACGCTCGTGGAGAGTGCAGGGATTAAAACACTTTGAGACAGCCGTTGCCTCTCCCCAGAGGAGCTGTCCACACTGGCTGAGAGCAGCTTTGACTCTAGCAATGAGCCTGGCTGGTAGGCTCCATGCTTGATGGCCAGCTTGGGTGATCCCAAGAATGTTAAATGTTTGGGGGGCCTCCGCTGCCTCCTGAAACCCAATGGAGATACCTTCTTTTTTCTCCGGAAAAAGGCCATCACAATTGGCCCCCAGTGTCTGGTAGAGAGGGGGGGGGGTGAAATGGGCTGAGCCTGAAGTGTCATTTAAGGGGATGTTTAACTTCCACTCCCTGTTTCTGAAGAGTAATTTTCTGCAGAGACAGGAAGAATAATAGAAGGAACTTGGCTCATTTTGGCAAATTGCTCCAATTTTCCCACAGTCTCAGCCCCCTGTATCACCTGCCCTCCCTCTCCCCACCCCCCCTATCTATTTGGGCCACTTAATGCCCTGGATTCAGACCTAATAGAGGCTGTTTGTTTGGCCCTAGCTCAAAGGCTAGACTTGTTTTCAGGACAGAGCTAGAGGAAAAACCAATCTGGACATCTAAATCACAGCCAGGACTCATTACATAAATGATATATTTACACAATTGATCCCTTTTCTACTGGGTAATTAATTCGGCATCAGAACCCTCAACGATTTAATTGTCATATGCTTAAATGGAAACGGTTGCCACAAATTTCTAAAGACAAGAAGCAGAGTGTCCTGAGGGGGAGTGGCCTCTCATTTCAATATTGCCACCAAAAGGGGAAGCCCCCAAATGGCAAACATAACACGATTGTGGCTATGTTCCTGTCTGCCTGTCTTGCCAGATTAGTGGATGAAGGAATTGGCTGCAGGGAGAACTTCCTGCAGAAGTGACCCCAATCTCACTTGGCGTTTTTGCTCAAGGCTGGTGCTTTACCACTTTAACCACATCTCCACTTGCAGCATATTGCTGGCTAACTGGAGATAAGAGTCTCACGGACATTTCTTTCCCCGTTGGTTTCCAGCCACAATCCTTGGATCTCAGCCTCTTGAATGAATAGCTAGGGTTACAGGCATGAGCCACCAACTCCCTGCTGGTTTTGTTTGTTAATGGTGGTAGGGAAGGGTGAGACCTCACTGGCTTTTTTAAAATATAATTTTATTGTTATTCTTAAGGTGTTGTACAAAGGGGTTACCGTTCCATAAGTCAGGTAATGAATACAATTCTTTTCTAACAATGTCACCCCCTTCCTTGGCTGCTCGCTGGCTTTTAAATGTCTGGTGCCAGGCCAGCCTGGAGTCTTGGTGCAGAGCATGACCCATAGAGGGCGCCGTTTGCCTGACGCTGACTGCAGCCATGGTCACAAGTAAGGAGAAGCAACACCTCTCGCCAGAGGGCGGAAGAACTGCGACGTTCCAGCCGCGACCCAAAGTGCGAGCTTTTCTCAAAGTGGAAAGCAGAGAGTTCGTCTAACGTGCTGCTGTTCAAGCCCTGCAACCCAAACTCCGGAGATGGCCGGCTGGGGATGCGGATGCACAAGAAATCCCTCCCATTGGTTAACACACACGCGCGCACACACACATATATACCCCTGCACACCCCTCAGGAAGGGACACACACACGTGCGCGCAAGACCACAAGTGTTGCCAACAAGGGCAAACTCCTCCTCATCCTGGACCTGGGACCAGGGACCAACCAAGAGCCGCTTCTCTAGACAGAACCCCCAGGGTTTGCTCTGTGTGTGTGTGTGTGTGTGTGTGTGTGTGTGTGTGTGTGTGTGTGTTTAGGACTTCCTGGCGTTTGGTTTTCGTTTACGGGGAGTTTTTTTTTTTATCTTAGGGATTGAGCTCAGAGCCCCACCCCTAGCAAGTGCTCTTCCACTCAGGTTATATCCTCAGCCTTTTTCGCAGAGGTACAGCTCCTTGCGTCTCTCAGTTTAAAGACTTTCGTGGGACAGAACTTCCGCAAGTTTGCACGCAGTGCCCGCACACCGACAGTGGGTGAAGCGGGGTGGAGAGTCTCTTTTCCTCCACCTCTGCCACCGGGTCTGAAAAAGCCGGCAGTGCGCACAGGACCTGCATCGTCTATGCGCAAAGAAGGATTTTTACTGTTGGGCGGGGGCGGGGGAGGGGAGGGAGAATGACCTCTGGGTTGTGTCGCACTGGTTGGATGACCTGGGCCGGGTCCTGTCTCTGGATGCCCGTCTCTACCTATAAAATCCGAGCAGGAGCCCCGCCTTACTTAAGTCCAAGGCTGGTGATTGGTTCCAACCCAGATTTTGGATGGTGTGCTGTTTTGCATTCCAGTAAAGCGTTGTACACACTCAGAGGAACAATAATGACAATTGTTCGTGAAGGCGCCATTTACTAGCCAAAGGTCGGGCTCGGTGCTGTAGGTGAATGCTAAAACATTAAAAGTGCCCAACCGAGATTTGGTCGTGGAGGGTCTGGCGCCATAGGATCGAAAAAACAAAATAACACCCCTTCTTTCTTAGGGACCCCAAACAGCCACGTCACGTCTGTCAGTGCAGGCGGGACAGTGATGAATTTAGGCAAGGCTCGACCTAACGAATAAGAAAGCGCCGGGAGGTGAAGGCACCACAGAAGACACCAGGTGTCCTGGCAGCATGGGCAGGGGGCCAGCGGGTGAGGAGTGTGTTATCTTTCTCTGATTCCATAGCTATTTTTCAGGTAGGACCCCTTCCCCCCACCCCACCCCCATTTCTGATTTGTCGGACGCTGCCTTTCGGATTCTTTGTGCGGCCTGGGGCTCCATTTGCAAACCGGGAGAATCCAAAGATCTTCCGTGCAGCTGTCCCTCGGAGGCCTGGAGTGCTTCTCCAGAGACTTGGAGGCCCCCGGGACGGGCTGCCTGGACAGAGGAAGGGACTCCGTGGCTCCTTCGGGTCACATGGCCACTAGTAAAGCGTTTGGGTAGCTCCAAACGCCTGCCGCACACGCCTCCCAGGGGGGAAAGTGCTGTCTTCAGGACCGCAGACTCTGAAGTTGGTGCTCAAGTCGAGGGCCCTGGCATCAAAGGACAGGAGTGGCCTTTGGAGAGCGGCCGTCGGTGCAGAATCGCGGCTCCCCAAGCAGGCGCACGAGGGACGCGCGGGCGTCCGCGGGACCTGCGCGCACCCGCGGGTGCGCAGACACGCGCGCCCACCCGTGCTCCCTCCCGCCCAGGACGGCTCCCTCCGGCTGGCTTTGCCAGGCCAAAGGCTACCGCGCGGAGTCGTGAGCCCGCAGACGCCCCGCAACAACTCATTCCCGGATGTCCCCCCACCCCTTCCTACGGGTCAGACGGTTGGATGGGGAACCCAAATTCTCCTCTTCGCGGCGGCCCCCTTCTTAGCAGGCTTTGGGGAGGGAAATGCTGAGGCCGCTGGACCCCAAAGGGTAGGCCAGGGCCGAGTTCCTCGCGGGCCGCGGTGGCGTCCTGCCTCTGGGCCCCGTGCGACGGGGCCCGCGGGCCCCCGCCAAGCCCCTGGGGGCGGGGGAAGCGGCAGCTGCGGGCGCGGGTAACCCTGAGGTGACCCTCCCGCCCCTCCCCCTCCCGCAGGCCCGGCGGCGGGGAGCGGGTCCCGAGCTGCGGGGGGGTGGGGGTAGGCGGCGCCGGCTCGGGGCTCGCGGCTGTCAGTGCGCTCCAGCCGGTCGGGGGCGCCGCCGGCTCCCGGTCCCTCGCCCTCTCGCTGCGCGCTCGTAGGAGCGCTCCGAGTGCCTCTTTAGCCGGAGCCAATATCCTTTTGTGCTAATAGGTTTGTCCTCATTTGCTGCCTAATTGGACTATATAAAGCCAATAACAGGCGGGCTCTCATAGCCTAAAGCCAAAGCGCCAAAATCCAAGGGAAGGCGAGGAGGGGGTGGTTGGCGGAGGCGGCTGCGGGGCCCGGGCTCGGCTGCGCCTTCGTCTGCCTAATCCCATTTGCCATTGTACGCGCCCAATCGCCGTATACTCCCCGCATTTAACTTGGATGACATTTTGATTTCATCATTAGCATCCGGCGCCGGATTGACGCAGCCCCAAGCCAGGCACGGCTCGTGCCGCCTCCTCCCCGGGAGCTGCGGCGGCGGCCGCCGGGGCCCCCTCGCTCCCCCGGTGCCGCGGCAAGGCCGCTCCCGCCCCTCCGGACCCCCCCCCTCCCCCCCCCCCCCCTGCGAGCCCGCCCCGGCCCGGTCCTCACCCCGCCCTCCCACGGCTCGATTTGCGCCCCGGGCGGCCCCCGACTTGGTGCCCCGTAGTTGAGTTCCGTTTATGGTCTGATTTCCGGCTGCTCGCCGGCTCGCCCCGCCGCCTGCCTGGTCCCGTTCTCCCTCTCCCTCCTCCCCCGCCCCCCCACACACCCCCAACCCTGAGACCCGGAGGAGGAGGAGAGCGGGACCATGCCGGAGCCCGGGCCGGACGCCTCCGGCACCGCCAGCGCGCCGCCGCCTCCGCAGCCGCCTCCTCCACCGCCGGCGCCCAAGGAATCCCCGTTCTCCATCAAGAACCTGCTCAACGGCGATCACCACCGGCAGCCCCCTAAGCCCCAGCCGCCCCCACGGACGCTCTTCG